TATCTATCTATCTATCTATCTATCTATCTATCTATCTATCTATCTATATAAATCATAAAATCTTATTTTGCCACTTTCTGTCAATTTATATCATTTTATTGTCACATTACTTGTTTTAATGTACAGTAACTTCAAATTTTGTTATTTTAAATGTACTTTTATCACTCAGTTATGACTTTTTGTCCTGATGCATGCTCAGTAATCCAGGTAGATTCAGGTGTGATGATGTGCACAACCTTGATTGAACGCTGGTTTGAGCGGAGTGAAGGAAGCCATCTTTGTGAGGAGAACGCGTCCATGGTTAAACAGGGGCGGAGGCCTCGGTGTCCAACTGTCCCCCTCTTACAATGCTCTTATTATAAGTATCACTCAGCCTTCTGTGAATAGCAAGTGGCCTTTAGGGCACTAACGACCAGTTGTTAGGCTGATGGTCCTCCTTTTGCATGTGAACAACTAGTTATCGCTGTCACCAGCAAACTAACTGGTTGATCCACTATGAGAAGGTGCTATTTATAAAAGATGGGGTTTGTTGCAGCTTCTCAGACTGAAGAAGTCTTATGGATAAAAGACAAAATGTTTCAACAAGGAAGAACCTGACCAGAGGACCTGACTTAACCTTGCTAGATCACTTTACTTTACTTTACTTTACTCAATCGTCATTACTGGATCATCTACAGCAGCAAAAATCAATAAAATAATGTAATAAGAAATTCAATACAAGCATTTTGCTCATTTTTAAGAATCATGATAAGTGGTTATGCTCTACGTTTACTGCTGAGGAGTTAAATAAATGTTCAAAAAATAATAATTGACCCATTCAATAAACACTTTGTGTTAAAGCAGCCCACATTTAAACAGAAAATATTTGGCAGCTGAGGGTTCATGCTGGCAGTGCAGAGTTGAGGCCAATTGGCCAGTTATAAAGCTCTAAATAGATTTTGCATTAAAAAAAAAACAGCTGCCATCTTCCTCATTTAGTTGAATTATGAAAAGCATAAAATAAATGAAGCAAAACATAATTTATAACACAATCTAATTAAATGTGTGAGAGGGAGAGTAAAGGGAAAGCAGCAGAATACGGGCCGGAGATGATATTGTTCCAGGGGGAGGAAAGTTAATAGGTTTGTTTGCGACGATGCTGCACCTGCTGTTTGTTGATGGACTGAGCTGTAAATAACTTTGTGAAGCTGTTAGGTGCTCTGTGGGGACTCCAGTGTTTCTTTCTCCTCTTCTCTCTCTCTGTTCTTTGCCTTCATCAACACACGTGCATGTGAAGTCCCGAGAATTTTAATTTATGATGCCTCTGCATGCGTTTGATG